ACAGCTTGTTCGATCGATAGTCATACTTACTTTGCCACGCCATTTACGGCAATCGCCAGTGCTCGGCAATTAAGTCAATTTGTTGTGATAGATATTGAACGGGATCAGATCAATCATGATGTTCAGAAATCTAAAACTAACAACAGCGCACGGGAAATGCAGGCTAAGAAGAATAATCAGCCCCAACATCATATTTCTCAACGGTTTTTGACTGTTTCCGTTTGGGTTATGCGGACTAATCCTCTCCACCAGGCGAGTTTTGACGAAACAACGATGCATACCAGGACGCATCTGGGTCATATCCTTCACGAAGGCGATATTGCTCTCGGGTAATTCATTTGCCAATCAGAGCCCCTTATATTTGTCAAATTAAGCTTTGCTTGCCTCACATTGCGTTAATATCTGGTTGAATTTATTCCTTTTAACTTACTAATGAGGGCATGACTCAGTTGGCGTGTTCTTAAAATGTTATTGGTATAGTAAAAATGCATTGAATTGTTCGGCAGTTTGGTTACCATTGCCTGTGGTATCATATAAATAGTGATCCTTATTAGGCATTGTATATGAATGAATTTGAAACAATGCCCGCCATAGTAAGAATGATTGCTCCTAACCAAGTACTATACTATATGTGGTAGCCAACTTACTTTATCACGTTGATCTTACCAATTTCCTAAAGAAATATTTGACTATTCAGCCTTCTTATATTTAATGGCCATTGTCACAGTACATGCATCGATTCCCCTTAATATTCTGATCTTTATTTTAGTATTTGATCTTTCACAGCTGTGTTAAATTGATTGTAGATAGATTATTTCAGTTTCCTCCGAGTTCGTATTTACTGCATGTAGTTCTCTCTTACAACATACTCGATATTTTGAACTGTGGATCAGTCCTGACTGGCTTCCTCCGTGCGAGGCGCTAGAGCTTCGCAGTACCATACCTTGTGGATGAAGACGTCATCTGGGGCGCGATAGTGTAGCATTTTTTCGCAAACCTCTTATAACGTGCCACTATGCGCCTCGCATCAAAATCATGGCATAATCGGTTAAATCTCTGCTTAAGGAGGACCGAGCTCACTGCCGAAAATCAAAGTCCTCTTTCGGTGGTGTCTTCAATTCTGCTTCATCATTTTCCCTGCAGCAGCAAGGGAACTTATCCCGAACGACCTCGATTCAACCCTATGTTGCACATCTATGAGACACACAGTACATTGTCTTGGTTACCCAGTTACCGGGTTTCCATTAATTCTCTTCGTTCACATTTTATTTATTATTATTGTATAGAGCCGTTCTACTGCATTCAATCCTACGGTTCATAAGCAAACTATCATAGATTGGCTCTCATTTTAATAATATTAGCTATTTCCTATATTACTGACATTTTCATCCTCCTTGATTAACTATTTCACGACTTTCAGGGTTATTCTATGATAGCCACTTTTAAGGATATATTGTAACGTCTTCGCAATCGAAATACAAGTTTACCTCATCGATAATCCTACCATAAATTTGAATTAAAAAAGACCTGGCTCTTCTTGAAAGCCGCATTGAACTATTACCAAATGGCACCCATGAGCGTGTAGCATAATGATAATGTGCCCCCACTTTAAACGCACGACCTGGTATCGAATTCCTTTGGGAGTGCTAATGAGACTCAGGCTGGGCCGAGGCTGCACTTCACCGTAGATGAGAACGCCTTTGGGAAGGCAAGGCTAAATAAAATTTATTTGGTTGTGAATAATTCAACCATCCGTCCTTATAGCTCAAGCCACCTATGGTGACTTAATATCGTATCAGAGTTATTATTCAAAAGGTATG